GTGTGGTGACTCGGTGTCGAGGCTCCTTAATCTTCCATGCAGCGCATGATAATCAGAAGCTCATTCCAGTCATCCGGAATGCTTTCCACTCGCTCCAATCTTTCCGAGACAAGGTAATCGCTATTTGATTTGATTTGATTTCTAGAATTGTTCATTTCTAATTTTTTATAGCCTAGGGTTTAACTAGGATTTTACAAGTAGCTGATCGTATTAGACTATTTTGTGTTTATTGTTTCTGTTTTCACCGTTTAGATTTATTCAGGGCTTTAGCAAGCATAAGACTGTATTCATGATACTGTATATCTGTATATTGTCACGATCTTGTCTTGCTCACCGTGTGGCATTGATATTCCTAGATTATTCGAGAGAAGTTTACAAGTAAGATCTTACAGGCAATTCGATGTATTTTCTGTGAAATGAAGGCTATGTACTCTAAAATTGAAGGCCAAAATCGGCAGAACTATCGAAAACCGTGAAGTAAAATGTCTTTACAATGTCTTTTACACTCTTCAAGGAAGTATAATCGCAGGGAACTCTTGGTTTTATTGAAGTTGGTGCTTTGTTATTTGAAAATTACACACCTAAGATGTCTTTATGGAACTTATCCAAGTGTATAATCATTGCCCGCATCTAAGGCTTGTTTGTGTTCTACAGGTTTTAACAGGTCAAACGGAATTGTACAATCCTGTTCTTAATTTACACTTCATTCAAAGATTTGGAATATCATCATCTGCATCTCTACAATCCAAAGAAAACGGAACTTCCCAAAATGAGGGAGACACTACAGGTATTCCCAATGATGCTAAAGAAAGTACAGATGCAGAAAATCCTAGTAAAACAGAAGCCTCTGATCAGAAAGGAGAAGGTTTGTAATCAGAAACCAGCTTGAGTACATCCAATCTCTTTAGTCTTTACCAGGAAGGTTACTTACCGAATTAGTTCTTTCAGAGTTGGATTCAGATGAGGAAGAGCTGTCAGTGGAGGATCTGGTCAATCTTGTGGCTGAGAAAGAGGGACTTCTGAAGACAAAGCATAAAGAGATTGAGGAAATGAAAGACAAAATTCTTCGAACATATGCTGAAATGGAAAATGTAATGGAGAGGACAAAAAGAGAAGCAGAGAACTCAAAGAAGTTTGCAATACAGGTTTTATGTTAGTGGTTTAAAAGTATCCTGACTGAATGTATTTTATGTTGTCATGTTACTACTTACTAGTAGTTTAACATGCTCAAAGCTGCAGAATTTTGCCAAGAGCTTACTGGATGTTGCGGATAATTTGGGTAGAGCTTCTTCAGTGGTAAAAGAGAGTTTCGCTAAGATGGATACATCTCAAGATAGTGCTGGAGCTGTGCCACTTTTAAAAACCCTGCTGGAAGGCGTTGAGATGACTGAAAAACAACTAGCAGAGGTAATAAATTCTTTTGTTTTAAGTTTGTGTTTTTGTTCTGGTAAATTTTAAATTTTGTCCCTTGACTTTGAGATCACATGCAGTTTTGGTCACTCACTTTATTAGTATATTTACAATTTTAATGTTAATAAATACCCACTTCAGCACTTGGTGACCAAATATTCAAAATCTTTGTTACCAAGTGACCCAAATAACTCTTTTTATAATCCTTCCATTTTATGAATGTTCTCAATTCAGGGTACTTGTTATGTGAGATGAGGGACGTCATAGATAGGGTCCCACAAGTTTTGAATTGTTAAGAAAATATACTCGAAGGGACTATACTTTCTTCCGACATAGGTAATGAATTTGGTGGTTTCAGGTTTTCAAAAAATTTGGAGTGGAAAAATATGATCCCACAAATGAAGAATTTGACCCCAACAGGCATAATGCTGTATTCCAAGTACCTGATCCAACCAACCCACCTGATCAAGTTGCAGTTGTGCTCAAGGTACTATGCATGTCACTTCACTTAACCTAACATTAATTTTTATGCCAATTAATTTAGGTGATTAAACTAGCATTTTTATGTTATTAAACAGTTGCATCATCATTGGTGATGTAATATTTTGGTTGGTTTTGCAGGCAGGATACATGTTGCATGATCGAATTCTACGACCGGCTGAAGTTGGTGTGACCATAGCTATGGACAAAAAAGATGCAAATGAAGAAACCCAAACTTGAAACTGACACCCAAAAATCTCAAGTAAGCTAAGCTTATAGTTTTATCACCGATAGGAGTTCTTGTAGTTTGCATAAAACTCTTGAGCCTGAGTTACACTTGTACACCCTGCTATTTAGAAAAGTTATTTTTTTATTTTTATTTTTAAACAAGGGTCAGAAACCACCTGTTGAAAATGTTCTTTTTTTACATCTAATGGTGAAATTTGAGTAAAAGACCATACTTACCCTTATAAGGTTTGGGGCATGCCCCAATTGATGGCATTCCTACGACACGCACATACTTATTAGGCCCTATCATCTTTAAGGATAACATCCGTTAATCGATCACTGTTAAGTTTGTGTGGGAAACATGTATGGCTCCTTATAGCAACTTTAAACCGAATCCCTTGGAAAGTGCATGAAAACAACATCATTAACATACTCCACCTTCAGACTAAAAACAAATTTCCTGCAAATTGACTAAAATCGTAGAAGTTTACCAACGTTTATTTTTGGAACATAGTCCAAAATTATCACTGGATTTGGTCTAACATTTGTGGTGTGTTGTGGAATCTGATGATTGCCAAGGGACATGACCTATGAATATGATGTTGTCATAGGTTTGGAAGTGAGTTGTTCTAAAAGGCTTCGTAGATGCAAATTTGGGTAAATGTTTAGATTCGGGTATTAGCACTACAAGGCTATATGCTCACACTCAGAGGAAACTACGGCTAGTTGGATGCCTAGGCTTCTGGAAAAAAAAACCCCACAAAAGCAAAACACATGGCTATTGCATAATATGTGAATAAAGAGCTTATAATATGGTTGAAAAACTTCTTATGAGAGTTTGGAATGAAGTAAAAAAATAACCAAAATGAAGTTTATCTTGGAAAGAATCCAATGTATCATAGTAGGACGAAACACATCCAGATGAGATATCATTTCACCAGCTTAATGATAAGTGATGGTAGGTAGTCACTCATAAATATCCTTTGTACAAGAATCCCCCAGATTTGTTTACTAAGTGATGACAATAGAGAAGTTAAACCTTTTGATAGGCCTTTAGATCATGATTGATGAATAGGCATCAGACTAGAGGTATAGTAGTTTACACGGTTTTAGGTTTACGAGAGTTACATGCTTTACCAGGCAGGTTTGGTGATTAGTTGTTCTTCGGTAGAAGATTGTTGCGTTTGATGATTTTTGAATGCTATTTTAGGCCTGATTTCTCTCTACATACTTCTAAACTGTATTATACAACCAATAAGAAATCACTATAGTTCAGTTGTGGATGATGTAGCACGTGCACAATGTAAATTCTTGTATTTCGTTATTTCCTTGCATCTTAAATTTGTATCTATGTGTGTAGATCATATCCCTAACATGTATGGAATTGTTAAGCCAATGATCATGGTTCAAGACTTGCTATTATGTAGTTACTTTCATATTGAAATAAGGATGGAGATCATTTAGGGCATAAATTTTTTTTTGGAACATACCCAACTTATGTCTTATTGGGGTGTTGTGTTTCGGTGTTGGTCTTAAAAATTCAAGAAAACCCTCAAATCTGTTTTTAAATGTAATGTGGATTTTAAACTTCATTTTTCAGTTAAATCTAATTTTGGTTAGTGGTTAACTTACTTATGTGTAACAAAAACAAAATAGTTAATTTCCGAACAATCAAAGTATCAGCTAATGCAGTTGTTTGAGATATATAGAACATGAATCAAGTTGGCATCTAACAACACTTACAGTTGTGTTCATCCTAAATTACATCGTGATTCAGGAGGTACATACACAATCAAAACAGAATAAAAAATCTCTAAAGAATGAATGAATATAATACTAACAAGTATGTATGGACGTATTCAGTGCCACCAATATCACTTTCTGTGGTGTGTAAATGAAGAACAAATCAAATCAAATCAATTCTGGATTTGTCTCGCGTCTATTATTTCCTTCAGTTTTGTGAGTAGTAACACCTGCTCCTCAAAATTAAGGCTTCCTAATATCTATTCCAGAAAAAAAAAGATGATAAGAGATTATATTAACGATAATAGAAATCCACATTAATGATAGATTATCTCATATACCTACCTGTTCCAATAGGATCTCGACTGGATAATATTGTGGGATAACAAAAGACTGATGATAGATGTAAGCAAAAACAGCCATAACCATCTGCAACCAATACAAATTAAAACACACAAGAAAAACATTTAATGATAAATTTATGATTTGATTAGCTTGTATGTTTGAAAACATATTGAAGGACATCAATCGAGAAATTAATGCTAATTACCTGACAATCCATTCTATCAGTAAAGCCACCATGTCCTGGAATACTGCCACCGAAATCCTGGAAAGTTGAAAACATGTTAATAATTAATAGATGCAAAAGTTGTGGTTTTAAGCATAACAATCATGACACACCTTGATATTAAATGCCCTCTTAAACCCACTTGCGAAAAACCCTCCAAATGGTGCAATAACCGATGCAAACAAACCAAGGCATAAAGCGTGCCACTGCACTGGTAAAACTGATATCTCTTTCCATGGCAACTGCGTGCGTGCAATGTTTTACAACAAGTTCGGTGTTGTTTCTTGCTCTTAATGGGCCTAATGAGTTAATAACTTAATCTGGACAGCTAGCTATACATGGTTGTTTCTTTTTGACATAATGACTTAATGGGTTAAGCCAAAAAAAAAAAAAAACTGATTGGATGTATTAAGACACTAAATTTAATGAATATTGTTGATAATGTGAAGTTTGGTTTTTTTTGAAAAGTAAGGGTAAAAAAGTCATTTAGTCTCGTTCGGATGGTCTATTCATTCAGTCTAGGAAAGAAACATGCGACACTCTATCCATACAAACATCATTACTCATTCCAATGACTTAATGAAAAAAAAAAAAAAAAAAGAACCCTTGGTACTTTCAGGTGCATGCTAAAAATTGACTTACCCCACTCGGTAACTCAAATATTTCTGGTGTAAAGATAGGACCAGGATCACATTGCAGCCAACTTGTGGATAAATCCTGCATAGAAGACTCTTTGTAAAAAAACAACTTGCAGTAAAATTACATATTCTGCTTAATTGTGGACAAATGAGGTATTTGAACATACCCTTCTTGGGCATGTAAACCACTGGAAGCGACCCAAAACGTTTGCAAGCTACATATATCAAGGATTAGTTAATAGGTTTAATTAGAAGAATAGAGTAATGACTTCAGACCCCTTGAAGTGCACGTACTTGCTAACTAGTGATAAAACAAAAATAAACCGGGAAATATTCTTTTAGCTTTGAAAATAATCTAACCACAAATGCTGAAATAACTGTTGTGACTGATGCTCCTAAAAAGCCCTCCCATGTCTTCTTTGGAGAAAGCTTGATAAGGGGCGTCTTCCCAAAGAAAAAACCAAAGAAATATGCGGCGACATCATTAATTGCAATAAGTGATGCTGGGAGGAGAAACCTTCAACATTTAATAAAATTGATGATTTCAAGAGATGATAAATCATCGTGACATAATTGTCTCTTGAACAATATATAATACAACAATCAAAATAAACGAATGAGAATGATTTGGGGAACTGGGACTACCAGAATATCCCTTCAAAGATATTTGCAGCAGTGAAGGACGATTGTGTAAATACTACTATCAAAATCATGTGTGTCCATGCATACTGACTAAATTGATATTTGTACATCTTCGCCTTTAGTGTAAGAATGAACCACATGAACCCTGTATCAAATAGGACCTATGGTGTTAGTTTGTAAGAAAAAGCTTCCAAGAATAATATTTCTGATATATATATATATATATATATATATATATATATATATATATATATATATATATATATATATATATATATATATATATATATATATATATGTTATCAAAAACAACATAAAAAATGTAAAAAAAGGTGTAAGATGAAAACTTTCCTATAACTTATAAAAAAGACATAAAATGCACCTGTGATGTACAAGAAATAACAGATAACCATCTGATACTTCATAAAACTGGTTGCAAGCTTGTAGAAGAATTTTTCAGGAGTTACAGCATGCATTATCTGTTGGCTGAGAATGCGACCATACACAAACAACATTGCAGTGAAGAAGAAATGCCTGTAAAACCATGTTTCCATTTACTCATTACTCATAATATACATACATATATATATATATATATATATATATATATATATATATATATATATATATATATATATATATATATATATATATATATATATATATATATATATGTTATGATCATCAATGCAACAATATAAGGAGATTAGTTGTAAACAAACCAAACGGGTTCTTACCAATTGAGAAGTCTGAAGCCTGGAAGACGCCTATCTTCATGAGCTCTTCTAAGTAAATTGAAGAGCTCACTTGCCATTAAGATTTGTATGACAACAATCATGCCCCAGAGATAAAGATGACCTAAATACACAACCAATATGAAGCCCACAAGCATCCAGACCGAAGAATATGTTCGGATCCACATTGATCTGTATTTGTTTTGGTCATTCACGAGCAAATCACTTCCATTTACCTTCATGACATCTGGAAAAGCCTATAAAAATACGGAGTTTTATGCTTAACATTCTATCATTAATTGCATCCGGGTTAGTAAATAAGGTAAAAGTTTGTAACCAAATTAGGATCTTTATAAGAATTGAGGTACTAGACTTGGACATCCCACCAACCTCAGTTGACTTTCTCCGATTCCGAGCTCGGGCATTTGAAGCTGATCTAGGGCTTTGCAGATCTCTCTCCATTATTCTAAAATTCATTTTGGAGGCTGGAATAAAATCTATGTACACCTAAAGAACCGAATCGTACAAGAAAAATGTTATGTTATTAAGATTCATTAAGGATGTTCAAACATGCTATACATATAAAGGCAATTAAAATCAACACGATGGCTTATCAAGAAATTGGATTGAAGTGTTTAACAAATTAAGGTATAACGTTTAGGTTAAAATTTGTCAAAAGGAAATGTTGCAAATATGATCAAACATCACAAAATGGAATTCCTAGCAGTTTTCATTAGTGAGAAGGAGCAGCAAATAGAGTTTTTTTTTTTTTTTTTTAGAGTGAGAATCTAAGTTGAAAGGCTTTCTCCCCCCTACACCATTAATTAATGGCTTAATGCCGAAAGGACCACCTAACTTGCTTCTAGAATGTTCTGACGTAGATATTTACTTATCAAAGACGGTGATCATGGATTTCAAATTCAGTCCTGGAGCGAGGCATTAATTGATGTTTTTGATTATCGAACATAATCCACCGATTGGATGCCATCAACCTCACACAATGAATTCAGGT